ATTTTGCTGATCTAAAATATGATGCAGTTTTCTAAATCTGTTGACCTATTCTTTGTTGTATTCATTCCATTGTTTTCTTTTTTCTTTGATATTGCATTGCACTACTAGGTGTTGTGAACTGTTGCAGATAGTGCAAAGCTTAGTGTTGATTGGTTTGTATTCTAGCACTGTTTCACTTAGTGTAAATGTTTTCTCTAGTGCTGATTGGAGGTTGGTCTCATTTTCAAAACTGAGAACTGTGTATTTCTGGGGTTTGTATAATAAAAGACATAATATGTAGCAAGTCTTGGCCTTAGTTTCTTGGCAGATCATTTGAAGGTTAAACCATTTGTATTCAGTGGCAGGTTCGTGAGCTTAAAGGAGTTTGTTCCCTAATCTTTCATTTGTTCAAGATTCTATTTAGCATCGAAAATTCTTGCTGAGTTTAGTTTGATTGGTATACTTCAATTTTCCAGGAGTTTGAGCTTGTCCTCCTTATTGGTAAAAGTGATTGTCACATTTATATTATGGCCTTTAGGTGTTGTTAATTTGTCCGAATTTGGTAAAAGTCTATTGTACATCAATGAACTTTGTGCTTAGCAGGATGTCCCACACAATGATACTACATTTCTTATTGAGCCTATGTATAGTTTTCTCCATATGTGATAGTTTGAGATTATTTTTATCTGGTAAAATTCGATTACTTGCATTATCTGTTACTTATTGATCTCTGAAAATGGTGATGATGTAGTTCTTATTATTATAGTATTCATTTTGGATAAGGAGGAGGCTTTTGGAGAAATTGAGAATTTTTGTGAGATAAGAAATCTTCTTATAGATTATTGTTTCAGGGATGAGAGATACTTTGATTTTGAGTTTAACTCTCTCATATCTATATTTGAGTCTAAGGTCAAAAGGGGATCTTGATTATGGTCTTGAGCTGATAGTTTGCATTAATTTCTTTTTGTTCTTTTGTCTGCTATTACCAATTAACTGCCAGTCTTCTTCAGTCTCCAATAATCCTTTGTTGATGTCCATATCAATGTCAGAGTTGTCCACTTGTACTGAATATTGCAGCCATGCTTCTTCTCTAACATTGTATATTCTGGGACTATGGTTTCTTGGTGTTGTTCATATTCACCTTGCTTGCTACATGAGCTGGTATTGCTGTTATTGCTTCCGTTGATGTCTGTGGTTGTTTTATTGTTGATGATTTGGTTTAGTTCAGTAGTGGAAGTGGTTTTGAAGAGAGGTTGTTGTATTTGGGCAGTGTTTTTTTTTTAGCAGTAGCTATTTGTTTCTTTTTGGATATCTGTTCTTTTTTCTTGCAATAGGGGGTAGCATTGCTCTTGAATATCTTGTCTATAGTATAATTTGACCTACTGTTTGCATATTGTGGTTTCTTAGTCCTTTTTATATTGTATTTTCTTTTTATTGTTAAAGTCTGGGTTTGTTGTACCTCAGGGTAACAGGAAAGAGTGTTAAAGTCACTTTCTAATTTATTATCAATTCTTAAGTTATTATATATATTTGTTTTTTTATAAATTATTTTTATTATAAGCTTATTTATTTTTATAGTACCTATTTTATTTGCTTTATACTATTTTCTTTATTACTTTCTTGATTTTTTTTATTATTTTATATTAGCTATTGATTATATATAAATATATAATATAAAATATATACTTTTGAAAATTTTAATTAATTATAATTTTATTAAAAATTTTATTAAATTAAAAAATTTTTTGAATTATATTTTTAGAATTAAAAAATTATTTGTTAAAGTTTATTTGATAATTTATTAATAAATTTATTATAAATTTTATTTTAAAGTTTAAAAAAACTATTTTAAAAAACATATAAATTTTTTAGATAATTTTATAAATATTATATATATATATATATATATATATATATATATATTTAAATTGGCTCAACCTTCGTTTGGCTTTTATTAACTTTAAACTCGATATTATATATGTATTATCTACTTTAGAGCTAACTACAAATTAATAACGATACTAGCATATATGTTAAAAAATTGTATACAAAGATTCCTCTCGATTCGAATCTCTTATAAGGATCTTTGTGGTCTGTTGCTTCTTCTATATAGGGAACTAACTTGCCAGAGCTGAGCTAGTGAATATATTTCTTATAGTTGTTACCAAGGAAGTGTAACTATATATATATATATAAAAAAAAGGAAAGGGCTGTTGTGCATGACCCAAAAATTTTCACTTCTACCGACTGTTCACTGAGACTTTAACTGTGAAAAGAATCAACATCCACAAATTATCTATCAAAGTATAATGTCTAAATCTTCGAAAGGGAAAAAGGGAGGGGTTGTCTTTCTTGAGAGTGCAGGGAAGGGTTTAAGAACTTCATATTCTGCTTAGAGAATTACTAATTCGAAGAACTGGATGGGGTTTATGGCTAGGAAAGTACCTTGAAACCTATAGAGGGGTTGTCGACCTAGTCCTAAAGATAATATCAGCTTCAAGCATATACTGCTTATTTAAGAAAGTACAAATCTTTTAAAGTCAGGTTAAGTCTTTAGGGGGTCTACCAATCTGGTAAACATTTCCATTTGAGTACTCTTACTAGGAGTATGATTGGTGGATACCACTAGCAACCAGAGAAGGCCATGCTGGAGGGGAGTCGTGTTGGAATTCTTGACATTGTTCTTCAGTTTGTGTTTCTTCCACATACCATGGATCAGAAGTAAAAAACCTGCTGACCAGGAAAAATTCCTGTCCATCTTGTTTGTTTTTATTTTAAAATAAAGCAAATCTTTACCTATCTACCTGAGCTACGAAAACCTACTTGACTATCAAGAATAGGTAACTCCAATACCAAAAACGATTGGAATGTCTTGTAATCTTTGCCAAGGTGGGATGGACTCTTTCGTTGGAATATCAACTGATATAGGAGAAGGGTGTCTTGTATCTACCTGCATCAGAGATATATGACTTATGATGGATCCTAGGTTCTTATAGAGCTGAGGAAATGCATTCAGATATGTGAAGTGGTCAATAGGAGTTTGTTTATCAATCTTGTCCAATGTGTTTTGCATCATCCAATCAAAGTTGAAGAGATCTGTGCTATCTGAAATTTCAGGGTCAAGCTGGCATAGGCAAAATTCCCTAGAAAGTCATGAAAAAGGTAGCTCTAGAGACCAGAGAGCCAGTCAAAGGGTAGATGAATAAGTCCTTTAACTGGACCAATGCCTCTGTTATCTTCACCATAATTGAGAGGTAAGGATATTTCAAAGTTGGTCCTTCTTCCTTTAGGAACTTTCTTGCTATAGGTAGTAAAGGTGAATATTTTATATATATTTATATATAAAGAATATATTTTTGATTATAGTTTTAGTATAATAGCTTCAAAATTTATTTTTTTCTATTTAATTTTTTAATATATTTAATTAAATAATTTTAATTTTATATACTTAAAAATTTGTTTATTATTTAATTATAAAAAAAATTTTTTTAATTTGAAATTTTATGAAATTAATAAAAATTTTCTTAAGTAAACTTATTTATTATATTAATAAAAATATATAATATATGGTAAATAAAGTTTATTTTTTATTTTTTTTATTTTTTAACACACGATACCCATTTTATTGATTATATATGCATAGCATATACTTTTGTGTACAAAGCTATTTTGTATATTATTAGCGAACCAATAAAACCAATTGATGATTTAACTTTGTAGCTTGTTGTCCCTTTTCAAGTACTAACGTGCCTAGGCTCCGTTAGCGTGTGTTGAAAAGATGTCGTAAATGTTAATTAGGCCTTGGATTGTTTTTTACATTTTGCTGGTCATAAGTGTGTTAGTTGTAGGTGTCGGATCTTGCTGTTCCAGTGGCCGTTTGTTGTCTTTACTCTTTTTCTTTTTCGGGTAATGCCACAGGCTTTTTCCCAAAATTGAAGCCTAGCTACTTTCAATAAATGTTTAGATCATCAACTAATATAGACTATTTGCACGCAGTTTTTTTGCCGGTTTTTTTTTAATAGTAAACCAGTTCCAAAATTTGAAAATCTTGATCATCAAGTGGTTGGATACTTTCCCCGAGTGTGCGGTGTATTCATATGAAATAATTTAAAATACTTAAATTGGGAAAAGGGATTTCTGTATTATATAATACAGTATTTCCCATTTCAACAATTTTATAGGAATTGTCATATATTTTCGTTGAATTTTATGGTATTGCAAGTTGAATGAGGAATTCTGATCCCGAGATTTAAAATCACGTCAACGTTGCATGATGGTACTGCGGCGGCGCATACGGTGATTAGGCGGTTATATTCCGTTGTCCCACCTAAAGGTAGGAAAAAAAGGTATGCTTAGTACGATTTGATATTAATCTTTTCAAGCTTTTAAACACATTCAACAGTGAAATTTTCATCAATTCATTTAATCTCATGAATATCTTTTCATTTAAAAAATGTAAGTTTCCTGATATTTCGTAATTAAATTATTTTCTTTCTTTCTTCCTATTTTGGAAAATTAATCTTGCTATCTTAATTTCTGCAATACGTATAGATAAGGATTTAAAGAATCAGAGTCTTAATGAAAGCCTCAGTTAGTTGATTAATAAAATATTTTCACTTTATACTGTCTCTTATAACAAACGAAATGTTTTCTCAATTAATTCAAGGCAATGTTGGAAAGGAATTTTATCGATCTAAAGATTTCGATGAATCTACTTACGATACGAGTAGTACGTAAGGCTCTATTTTTGATTTTTTTTTTTTTTTTTTTTTTTTTTTTTTATTATTATTAGACTATTTACTAATAGAAGACGGCTCGAACGTTAAAAATATCACGATAACAAGTAAGTGCCTCGCACGAACATCTCATACAATAGATATAGTACACATATACATTGTTATGGTGAATTCACATCAGACATTTAGTAAGTTCCTAAATTCCGTATTTTGTGACTTTCATAACCACTAACTTTTAATTAAGGGAAACCAAAGGTGGCTCGTGGAAAATCACTAACGGCCGATATGAGTTTGATGATTGATAATCCAAACTATAGCGACATCAAAATAATTTGCGGAGATGCTGTTTCTTTCAACGCGTGTAGTGCCATTCTTGCCGCTCGCTCTGAGACATTTTCCCAAATATTATGCAATTACGATGTCATAAACATAAAAAATAGAGAACTACATTTTCGGATGATTTCCGGAGAAATCATGAGATTTATACTGGAATTTATTTATACGGGTAAATTAAATGGTGAAACGGAGAGATATGAAAGTGATGTCGAAGAGGAGGATGACGAAGAAGAATATGATTTTTTAAATGTCGACAACGTATTCGAATTATATATTGCAGCTGATTATTTCCAAATGGTGAAGTTACAGGAGATAATTGTGGATTATCTAAAAAAGGTCTGTAAACACGAAGGCGAAAATATTGCTCCGGAATTGTTAACGAGTGCTGTAAAACACATGCGACATATTTTAGACGATGATACCACTATCCCTTCGTCTCCTTCCTTATCCAAACATACTGATAATGAAATGAAAACGTTACTTTTGGACACTGTTTCACGAATTTCTTTGGATAAAATAAAGTTTGGTAGACTGTCATTGAACGCATTGGAATACTTGTTGAAATATACATACCCTAGAAGAAAATATCTTAACATTCTAGAGTATTTGGTGCTCCGTTATGCATTATTGCTGTCGGCGAGGAGTGTGTCAAAGGATGCGTTCATTAGTTTAGAAAATCGATTACCCATTTCGAATAACATTAAGAGAGAGCGCCCGCGAATATTGGATAGAAATGACACACTAGCTACATTTAGTTCTGTTCGTAATTCCATTTCGGACATTGTCACACCTCTGCTTGAATACATTGCTTTCCGAAAAATTGATGGAAACATATTGAAAGACTTAATAGAACCATTGGGTATTATCAAAAAAAGATATCATGTTGGAAGCTTATCGATTCCACGCAACCGAATATAAATCAACAAGTAAGGAGACTAAGGAAAAACCCTCCATACCATTTGAATCTGAAAGTTCTGCGGTGGGAAATACTCGTACTGAAAAACCCCCCATACCACCTAAACCTAGGAATTACATGATGGAAAATAATCGCACTATCAGAAAACCTTTCGAAATAAAATGGGATCGATATAATTGTGGCCCTTGCCTAGAGCTTTCTGATGCCGATTCTTTAGTTCGTTATTGCACTAGATCAAATTATGCTGGTTTCTGGAACACTATTCGCTCAAATTTAACAATGACCGACGGAATACACTCGTTTGCGTTTAATATTAAAAGTTCAGGCGATGTGGGTGTAGGCGTGTGTTCTGAAGAATTTAATCACAGTGATCCGAGAAAGTTTGAAGAGAATCAGATGTATGGGTGGATACTTGGGTCGGACGGATTGACATACCATGGTAACTATAGAACAAAGTACGCGCAAAAATTTTACGATGGCTATAATGTAACGGGATCTACAGAGGTAGTGGTGAGAATGACGGTGAGCATGGACGAAAAATGGGTAGAATTCATCGTGAATGGAATTGGCCTTGGAAGAGTTAGGGAATGGTTGAATCTACTCGATAAATTATTGCCAGTATGTTATTTGCGAGGTGAAGGCAGTTGCAAAATCATGAATTTCTAAAATTGTTCATTACTCATTTATGCAAATCTATGTGAGGAAAGACTGATGCGGATGTTCTTTCTCTGGAAACTCAGCTCATTTCTTATTTTTTTATTTCATGACTTTTAATAGTCATCAGGAGAACTACTTGTATGATCATATTATACGGCTAATTATTCTTGTCAATATTTGATTGTTAATGGGAACTTTTGGAACATCCCAAATTATCTAATATAATAGTCAAATTTAAAGATCGTGTTGGTGGATTACTCTAGAACAAAGAGGTTGATCGAATATAAATACATCATACAAACTTCAAAATCATAGCAATTGATAAAGGGTTTCGGTTTTTAAGTCATTATAGAATATTTAGAAATGAGTATATTTAACAGAATAAATGTTCTATGCATAGAATTTGCCTACAAGCAGTTATTCACTATTAAGTGCAGAAAAATTAGTGCAAAAAACGAAAAGTTGCAGATAGCACGTGATATTTTCTTTATTGCCAATTTAAAACCCGTTGTTTATTGATGCGTTAGTAATAGTTTTTGAAGTATAGTCAACATCAACTATTTTTCCAATAATTTGAATGTACAGTATGTGTCATATGTTATAATTATTTAATATTTAATCATTCGTATAAAATACGTATACGGTGATATTTATAACATGTTTGAATAAAGATGTACGCATTGCTTGGTTTTACCCAAGAATTTATTTTTTGAAAAATATTCTTTTCTTTTTCTTTAGTTTTTGGTAAGTCGGAATTATTTAAGAAGCGCCGTGGAAAAATTAGTGATAAGGATAATAAGATTCGTATCTCATTCACTACTTAATAAATCTGTACATATTGTATATGCGTGGCGTGTATATTGTCTTTATGTTGTACTGTATGTACATGATACGAAAATCAATTTTCGAATTCCTATTCAGCTAAGCAGGAATTAGAAGTTGCTATTTTCGAATTTTTTGGTTCGCAGGGCATGTTCCTTACGCGTCATTTGGAGAAATACTTTTGTACCACGGGTGTGGCACTTATTCAGAAGAAGTTCATTGGAAATTTCTGATACTTTTAATTATTATTTAAAAAAATTTCTAATGCAAACTCACCTATAGAGGGTTTACTTTATAAATAAAATTATTTTTAATAGATTTTTTAGCTAATTTGTATTGTATACATTTATTTTAATCAATTTTAGAGTAATGAGCACTTTATTTGAATTAATTTTAAAATGGAATATATTAATTGATCTATTATCAAATAAAATATTAATAAATGCATATCTAATTAGTTAGTATTTCTCAGTAGCTATTATTTAAAGCCTATATGAAGTATCTTTTTTTTAATCTGACATCAGGCTGACATGGCTTATCTTTATTGTGTATTTTAAAATTATTATACATTTAAAAGATTTTTATATGACAGCTTATCCATCTTAAAAGTTTAACTTCTCTAGATGCAACTTAGGAGATGATATTTTGCTCTCTTAATAACTTGGATTATTCTTTAACTATAAAGTTCATTGCTTACAGATCATTACTGTAAATCATCCAAAATTCTAAATAGCAGATCAAATACCTAATCACTTTTCTCCTTTCACTATTTATCTTTTAATAATCTCCTCAAGGTTTATACTTTTGAATTGTTCTTTATGCAATATCTTGTCTTATGGAGACTATTCTCTTCTAGATTTTTTACATTTCTAAAATTGTTTTTTGAAACTTAATGTCATTTAGATCTCCTATCAATATTCAAAGCCTTTTTCCATTCAATTTCCACTTTGCAGCACTAATTCTAGATCTTTCTCTTAAATTCTTTTGCATTCATTAATACAGTCTTCCTATAACTTTCTTTGTGAAAAATATTAAAGCCTATATAAAGTATTTATAATAATTATACTGAAAAATATTAGATTAAATATTAAAACATTCTATAAAATATTATAAACTTATATAATTTAATTGTCTAGTAATATTATCATCTTTTCAAAAAAACTCTTTTTCACAAATCCTTTTTTCTTGAAAATTTTCTATTATAGTAATTTTAAAAGAAAAAAATGAATAAATAAATATACTCTTAAATAAAATCTTTACAACAGAACAATTCAATAGAGATTAACTAAAATAAGAATTCTCTTGCAAGAGATAATAAAAACAGTTATGCAAAGAAATAATTTCAAAGTCTTTAAAAAAATAATCAAAAACTAAGTCCAAACTAAAAAAAAACAAGTTTTCTATAATCCAAATATGCCTATTTTTAGTACATAAATGCCAACAGTACAACAGTTGCATCTCTAATTAATATGTTAACAAATAAGAGTATATAAACAACCTTTTAAAAAAAACCAAGACAATAATATAGAATTATAAAGTGACATATCAATCTATATTCAAAAAAATTCTTTTATTATTATTTTATAATTACATTGCATTAAAAAGATTTAAAGAATAAATATTATATAAAGTAGATAAAAATTTTAAAATCTTACATTTATAATATACAATTATTATAAAATATATTGCAAAATATAAAAAAACTAGAGCTATATTCAAAAGAATAATAAGTTATCAAGCTTTTTAAAAAGTAATAAAAAGTTCTAATCAATTATATATTAAACAGTTCAATATATAATATCTATATTAATAAAATTATCAATAAGAAAAGATATATAGATTATTATAAAGATTAATAAAATCAAAGAAGTAGTCAGACAGCATTTCTTGATTGAATACCATTCAGAAATATAAAACCACTAGTTCATTATTTACAATAACAACAAAAGTATACAGCTATTAAAGAAAACCATACTCAAGCATATTTTTAGAGATTATAATTAAGGAGCTAATGACAATAATCAAAAGTTATAGTAACAAATTAGTACCTAGCATAAATCAAATTCTCTATTGTATATAAAAATATCTAAAAATAAATATTATAGAAAAACTAAGAGAAATCTTCAATAATATTATTCAAAAAGGTATAACACTCAGATAATAGAGTAAAAAAACTATTTAGCCAATATTAAAATTCAAAAACTAGAAGAATAATCAGCTAAAATGAGATCAATCACTTTTTTAAATACAAGAAGGCTAAAATTATAATTGATTACTTTGTCAAAGTATTTAAGATCACCAAATACTATTTGAACTAAACTAAGCATCACTGTTAGAAAAATGTATACAATATTCAATACTTATCTTAAGTAATATAATTAAACATATCAAAAAACAAACAAAGAAGTATAAATTCTAAGTCAGAATATATCTAAAGCATATAATTCAGTAAATTTTAATATACTCAAAAATACACTTTATTTTATTTAAATTGCTGACCCAGCCTTGCTTTATTTGAATTTAGTAGAAAGTTACATATATCTATACTATAACCACATTTGTTTATCAAATAAAGCTTGATAAGGGAAAATCTACCTCATAGCTTATTGCCACCCTTTTAAGGGGAACTAATGTGTCAAGGCTGGGCTAGCGCTATACAAAAATTTTCAATAAATAATAAGGGGTTGTAAACAATCTAATACTATTATAAATATGTTTGTTTACTAAATTAATAAATTATTCTTTTATAGATTTCTTGCTTTCTTCTATTCATGGATCTAATGTAGCAGTACTATATTTGTATTGCTTTTCCACGGCTCTTGTGATGTCTTGTTATTTTTTCCAGTTATAAAAATCTTTACATCTAATGTGTTATATTTCTTGTAAATGCTTGATAATCTCTTAAGTGAGTTCTTGGAGGTATACTTTTCTTGTATTTGATTAGGAATTAACTCATTGATCATCTTGATTGTTTCTTTTAGAATACCTCCTTGGATGCTGATTTCTAGATATCATTTGTAGTGTAAAGTGGTATTAGTTGAGTACTTTGACAGAGTATCTTTGGTTTTATTGTATTTACTAAATTTTGTAACAGTCTTTTTTATGGTTTCAATGAGAAAGTTGTCTGTTATTTACCAGTGTGCTTGACATATAAATGGATGTATGTTAAATTCTCTTTGATCATATTTTATATATTTGCTGTCTTTATACAATTTGACTATTCTGTTGAAGAGTTTGACTTTTGTGGTTAGTTCTTCATCCCATAATAGTAGTGTAAATTTTCTTTGCTATTGATCAGGCCAGCTGGTATAGTAATTGTTCATTTTAGTTAGCTATAGATTGTCTATTGTTGATGACCAGTGAATTTTCTTGATCATCGTATTATCGAAATTGTTTTTAGTATAATTTAGGAGTCTCCACTTTGCTAAATATATTGCTTTTGTAATGTGTCTAGTTATTGTCTTGATAGAAAGTCCATTATTTGGTGGTTTTATTGAGTAATAAGAGTCAGTTGTGGGTTGGT